AATAACAGGTTTCTTTATTTTACTGCTAAATATCTGAAAGAGTATGCGGCGGTCATCGCCAGGCGTATTAACGCAGTTGCAAGTTGCAACAATGACGTGCTCGGTGGTAGTATTTCCAGGGTGTCAAAACATTTCTAAATATCGATTGTTATCTAAAATACCTCTCTAAAAACGGTGGTTGTTTACAAATTGCGATATAAAAAAGCCAAAATTCCGCCACTCGTCTATACCTATACATTCCGATCTACCTACGCCCTGCCCCTCGATCCGCGTAGATCCTGAATTGCGTAGCAGTGTACAGGGTGCATCTCACCCGACGGGCGAGAAGCTCTTAGTTATGATTTTACCATTTGCGGTCAAAAAATAGCAATATAAGAAAATGTGTAGTATATTCTTCATAAGTAAACCAACTACACACTAGAGTTCGAATTAATTTTACACTTAAACTAGCGTGTACCCGCGACTTCGTTCGCGTCGAATTAATAATTTCTAATGGTGATGATAAAGCAAAACAAGAATTTCCATTAACATAAACTGGATAAAATTTTCTAACATTTGCCAAAAATAAGCTTTCTAACGTCGAGCAGCTTAAGCAAAACCGTGGTTAATCAATTACTCAACTTTTTGGAACACCCTGTATGATTTTTTAAAAAATTTCAAAATATGTAAAAAAACAAAATAAATTATGCGTGTCCAGGCGTTTTCCCGAAAGACTAACCGTTTTTTAAATAACAAATATTGTAATATTTGAGGGGCGTTTTCACCCTGTTGGAATTTGAGATTCGAGAAACCCCTCCTTATCGAACCTCGACCCCACAGTCAATCCGTTTGCCAAAAATCAGCTTTAAACGTCAAGCAGTTTAACCAGAATAGTGATTACTCAATGGTCATATTTTATGAAACACCCTGTATATATTTTTTAAAAATCTTAAAATATGTAAAACAACATAATAAAATATACGTGTTTTAAGAGTTTTTCCGAAAAACTCACCGGTTTTTAAATAAAAAATAATTCTAATATTTGAGAGTAGTTTCACCCCTTTAGAATTCGAGTTTCGAAAAATCCCTTCTTATCGAACCTCTACACACTAAAGTCAATCCGTTTTCCAAAAATCAGCTTTTTACGTCAAGGGCTTTAAGCAGGATCGTGATTAATCAATGACCATATTTTTCAAAACACCCTGTATATATTTTTAAAAAATCTTAAAATATTATTCCGAAAATTTTTCAGAATAAATAAATACCTAAATATTGAAATTTAATAAGTAAGTACTGAAACATACAGCGCCATAATATCTCGACCTCCGCCCGTTATGCTCGTAACAGGTTGAAACAGAATGTATCTAAAACAACTGATGCGTTATTCTCCAACCTGTTTCGAACCTCCACCGACAATTGACCGATGCAGCAGCGTTCCTTTCCCACTCCGATTATCTCGACCGCCGCACTATGGGGTATTTTACCTCAAAACCTGGCCAATAATATTTTTATTTTTTTTGCATTCTTCCGCGTTTTAAAATGTGAGAAAATAAAGAAATTGCTTCAAATTTTAATACATACCTAGCGTTTTTTTATTCACAAGATTAAGTCGAGACTCCCTCGAGTATTGACAATAACATGTCAATACTCGAGGGAGTGATTCCTCAGGTCATTTTATGGAGAATAGTTCCCATAAACATAAGTCCAGAAATGCATTGTTTCTAAGATACAGGGTGTTGAAAGTGAAAAACACTACATTTTTATTCAATTAAAAAAAATTGTAACTGCCAAACTGGCAAAAATTAGCAAAATATACAGATACACAGCCCGTCTATTCGAAGAACAATTTGTGATTGGCGCGGATTGTAACACGGGGGGACATTGACCCCCTACCACCCACCCTCGAATACATTCATGTTTATACAAATAATTCCTGGTATCGGTTGGTTGATATCTTGAATTTAGATTTTTGAATATTGGCCAACTTTTTGGGTTAAATACCCCTTAGTGCGCCGCCCTGTTATGCTCGTAACAGGTTGAAAAACAACGTATCTAAAATGACTGCTTCTCCAACCCGTTGCGAGCCTCCATCGACAATCGACCGATGCAGCAGCGTTCCTTTCCCACTCCTGTTATCTCGACCGCCAGGCGTTATGCCCGCAACTGTTTCAAAAAACCTGCTTCTTTTATATCCTATTATTTTTAAGCTGTTGCAAACCCAATACGACCATCGACGGTATCGACCGAAGCAGCTACGTTCGCCGTAGCGCTTTCCCCACTCCGTTGTCCGTTGTCTCGCCGCCTGTATCGATGGTTGACGAAATAACATGTTTTCCATCCATACTAGTTGTTTTTTGGAATTGCTTCGAGCAGCATAGAATTTCATGGCGGTGCAGAGCGCCGACTTCGTTTTTCGTTTCACGAGCGCCCGATCTCTACGTGTCGTTATTTTATATCTGTTATTTTTTAGAAGTAGTAACGGTTGCGTTATGTTGTTTATAAATAATTGTTATAAAATAACAGATAGTTAAATAACAACCCATCACAAACTGTCGCCCACCCACTCTGTCGACTGAAAGCAGAACTACGGTACAGTATTCTTTATCCGCTGCGCTGTAAACGTCTATCAGCGCGCAGAGCTAAACTAAATCTCGGACAGGCTGACGGTAAGCCAGCTACATCTCGGACATATTTTGTGCCTGGAAATCGCCCATAAGGCTGCATCATCTTATTCCTTTAATCAACTGTTAAGTCTGTCCAACGAGTCAGGAAAAATTTCGACAGAGGACATAAAAAAATAACTGAAAATATAATTTAACATGTTAATTAATGACAGCCATAACTGTTAATGATCGTCTAGTTGGACAGACTACATAGTAATAATAATAATAAACGTCTTTATTGAAATAATCGCCTATAATATTTGTTATAGCATCAAAATAAGTTATACCAGTTGAATAAATCGACTAAAGCTTGATTTTCATGCAGCCGTTATACGCTGATTTGATACCTTGGTCCGACGGTGCTCTGATTGGTCATAGCGTTTTCGCGCCACTTTTACGGACCCGTTCATACGACAACGGACATTTTGACACTTTTTTGATAAATTTAATCTACCCTTAATAAAAAAAGTAAAATAGCAAAATCGTTATGGAAACGAAAATATAAAATGACACCAACGTATATCCGATAAACGGAGGCATGAAAATGCAATAAATTTAAAAACTGCGTAATTTTCTAACCAATCAAAGTCTTTAAATATCGTATCAACGTATCGTCGGACAACGGATGCATGAAAATCAAGCTTAAGAGGTAAAACACACAAGACGGTTTATGGGCGTTGTGTGCAACCGCGTTTCAAAACAGGTTTGCTGAATGCTAGGAGGCAGACGCTTGGTGGACGATGGTGTTTGTGCCACAGAAGATCCATTAAGGAGCCACCACTGGCGTTGCGCAGCGACGCCCTTGTGTGTTTTAGCTTTAGAAAAAATCGATAGAAATATGTGTTTTTTAATGAAAATAATTATTAAATAATCAGTTAAAAAAATGCAAATCCTATTAACTATCTACTCAACGTGTTTATTTTTTGTTAATAATGACATGTATTGACTATTTCCATTCTAAATATCTTGAGAACGGTTGCTCGTAGCGATTTTTACCAAGAGACATTTTTTACGTAAAAAGTCACGGAAATGTATATTTTTTCACTCAGTAGTTTCATACAGGTACGAACGAAAAGTTATTACTCTTTAAAACAGTTAAAACACATGTAGGAGTCATATTGACATCAGAATCAAATTTCTCATATCAAAAAACTCCCAGACAGCAATTTTCATCCAAATATTGACGTTACTTCAGAAGTTATTTACAAAAAATCGAAATAAAAATGAAACTTGTACACCATGAAATTAAGCATTTTAGGACATACATTTATACAAATGTTTTTACTTATTTTTATCAGCAGAATATGCTGCCGAAGTTTCCGGAATACAATTCGGATCACCCTGTATATGAAATGTAAGAGAAAAAACCGACGATGTCCATTTTATGGAATTTTTAAATAATCAACTTAATTTTTTGAGAATCCAACATTTGTTGAGAGTCCCAAACACATGTTAAATTGTAATTGAATATAACAAACGATGTCCAAATAATAACGCATACAGTAATAAATTTTTGTATCTTTAACATGGTATTTGTCAATATTAAATCACTGTTTTCTCAGTAACTCGGTTTGGTGGCATCGCCGGTTTTTTTCGATTACCCTTAATCCTTAATATTAGTTAACTTAAAAATGGAGAAACGCGAAACATGGTCAAGACACCATGCAAGAGCACATACCCTATACCTGAGCAAGGAGACACCATGCTATATAATTGACAAGTCTTTAGTGGAAATATTTATATTTTTGATCTTTTATAGGTCTATCTATTATATTTTTAAGATAGGTTAATCTGTCTTTAATAATGCAATATATTTATGTATCAATCTTCTATCAACAGATATGAACGTGATTTATGTAAACCCTACATTATGATCAGTATTTAGGAAAAATATTTTTAAGATAGGTTAATCTACAATTAATTAATATTCTTGCTTAACAAACTATGCAAATTCACAAAATATTAAATCAACTTGCTGTCAATTTTCCGGTTGTATATTTTTTGTAATCCACTAATACCAACAAAATTGACCCTGATACCAACAAATGACCCTGGTTTATTTGTAAAAAGTCACATGAGAAGATCTGTAGCTCAACTAGTTTTCCAATAAGTTATTGCTCTATTTTTGCTAATGTAATTGCTTTTTCTTCGTGCTAGAATGTTAATTTAGGGTTAAATGTATTGACAGTTACCAATAGGTTTTGCCAAAGGGCATTAACTCTTAATAGTATCTAACACAGTTGCACAAATAAATAATTAGGAAGCTTCTTTCAATCTTGCCTTTTGTAACTCAAAGTGTAACTCCTATTTTTTGTATGGATTGTAATAAAGTCTAATAATAATTATAATTACTCTAACCTTTTTTACGTCCTCTCTTCTTTGGTTGTTGCTGATCAATTTGTGGTTCGACAGTTTTTTCTGAAAAACTGGAATTTGAGTCAGAATTTATTAATATCACGTCGGACTTGAGCTCTGGCTTATTAGCCAAAGGTAATATCACATCTTTAAAACTAGAGTTTGAGTTATCAGAGAAGTCCAAGTCCGTGACTCCACCGTTCATTCTTGCTCTAAAAAATGAAGAAAAAAAAAATACAAATATAAAAAGCACTTTTTCTGATTCTTAACGCACCTTTTTGCATTGATATGGTCAATAGAATTTTTAGCTGGTCTTTTCTTAGTATTCAATTGATTTAGATTGACATCTGCACTTTGACCAGCAACTAAAGGTGGACTAGTAGCCTGGTTATGAAACTGAACCATCAGTTTGGGACTTACTTGTTTCATGCTTGGGCTTACCGTTTTCTCAAAATTAGTTATTCTATTGCCTTGTAAATTAGGACTAACTAACCTTTCTGCATGCATTATTGGACTAGCAACCTTTTGGGCAAGCATAGGAGGGCTTACCTTTAATATAATATATTACATTTTAATATTTATGATATGCAATTGTTACCTTTGTGGGAGTTGAAGACCTCACTCTTAATTTTGCTACATCCTGCACAGGACTTTTTGGCCGTTTTAAATCTTTATCTTGCAAAGGAGGACTTAATTTTATTTGACCGTTTTCTGTAGGAATTACCATGCTTCGCCATTTCTTTAGGAGCTCTTTAGCACGTCTTGATAAATCAGCATTTGTCGTTTTACGTCTCAATTCATTAATATGTTTACCCAGTCTGGTGGTCTATAGAAACATTATAATTATATAGACTCATTATACTTTGTATATTCTTTATTGCATAGGTATATAAAAATATAGATTATAAATTGTTATAAATTTATCCTAACTCTTTAGTGTAACAAAAATTAATTAAAAAACACAAATATTAGTTTAGAATATAAATAAAAGTTACAGAAAATTGATTTTTTTTACTTCTATAGTTCTATTACCTGAAAGCCACATAAAAAACATACATTCATATCTATTTAACTACAATAAATTCTAATTATTTTATCGAAATTGTAGTAAAAATAAAATGTATTAAAGTCAAAGCGAAACAAAAATATCATACCTCCAATAATTCTTTGGTAATAGCCACTTTTTCCAACAGAGATATAATTTCAACAATTTCAAACATATTGATGACCTAAAATTGGAAGAAAATTCGATTTGGAGAATTTTTATCAGTTTGAGACCACCAATTAGACTACACTGTGCCCTTAATAAAATGACATTTTGTCTCGTGAATCACGCTAAAATTGCTAACTCACTTGATGGTAAAGAGGATATAACTTTAGAGTTTACTTCAATTCATATTTTCTGATCAAGGAAAAACTGGAGTGTAATTTAAAAAAGATTTGGGTCGAAATTTCTTATATAAAGCAAGTCCGCCAGACGACATTGCGAAATACTATACTTCTTTCTATATGTACATAATTTCATTGAACATTTTACAGGAAAGGTATTTTTTTGTCGGAAAATTAACAATAGTGCAAAATATAGTCAGGTAACTTTATTTGATCACTTTAGAAGCAGGAGCACAACATAATCCACCTGGTAGGATGTTTCTCTGTTGTCGAACACAGCAAAAACACAATTTTCTTAGAAAATCCAACGTTTCTTACATTGTAATTACTATCTAACGATCGTAATAGCCTTTGCGTTAATTCTGTTACGTTTTTCTGCATTTAAAGTCGGTTTGTAACGAGAAAACCGAATATACTTCGAGAGAACTTTTCGTACCTCCTCTCGACAGTAATGGCGAACGGACATTGCGTTGTGTCCAATTCTCTCGTCGGCACTGTGAAACGAGGAACATGGTGCACCCGAAAAGACTGAGTGGGGATCGTCGTAAACGAATCGGCTTCGGATCTGCGCTTGCCCACCAAGGATTCTTACAAACCTTCAAACTTAATTTTCCCCTAAATAAATCGACTTTGGATTCTAGGTGTCGTAGAGTATTGTTCTTTTAATTTCTAATTCCTGCTTTCATTCGGTAAAGAATATGCCGAATTTATCATTTTTTCATTTCTAATGTAAAATATATTTAATCCAACAAAATTTCATAGTAATTTAATTCAAGAATCTTGAATTATAATTTTTTTAATTTTCTGATCTTCAGAGGATTATAATCAGCTGATTTTTCAGTAACTTTTCCACCAATGTAGTGGTCAGAATGTTATGCTAGCGGGACATTTAAAATTTAAAAATGTGCATTACTTGGTATTACAATTAATACATTAGTGTTTTAAACGCTTATTAAACTTCTATTCATGTATAAAAATTAATACATATCAATTAGATAATCATTAATTGGTATTTTTTATATCTATATTGTATAAACGTGTACACAAACGGATAATTCTGTGTAGGTTTTCAGATGATTTAAAATTCCATTATTTGAAATATTACTTATAAATGGAAACTATACACATGCATATCAAAATATAGATGCTTATAGGTAGGTATATGTATTCTAAATGTAAAAATTTATCTATTTAAAATATACATATAATTAATCAGTTTAAAAGTAGTATCAAAATAAACTAGGTAAAGTATATATATATATATATATATATATATATATATATATATATATATATATATATATATATATATATATATATATATATATATATATATATATATATATATATGAAAAATTATATGGGAAATGTCATCGATCTTCATTTCATAGCCATCGCTGACGCCGTTTTTAGTCGATCATACCAAAGGATCATACAGTATATGTAAAATTATATTAAAGTTCAATATAAAATACTTCATATGTACAAAATTATAATTTTTTATAAAAACAATATTATACTTCTTCAAGCAAAGGAAATTCATCATCTGTTTTTGGAATCAGTGCTTCAACATTGTAAAAAGCAGCATGTAGAGTAATGATTACAATTGAAGCCCCTAAAATGCATTTTAATATTTAACTATATTATAGAATATCTTATAACTGTATAAAATACCTATAACCCAAAATATAGCACCATGAGCTCCTACTAAATAATATACTGGGAATGAAAATACAGCAAGTATAACATATTGATGAGCAAGTGGTATTTCCTTTCCATATAATACTAGCTTATTATGTAAATGTCTTTGATTTATTTTATACCCTGCATAAAATGTTCCTGCTAATGCTAACAAAATTAGAGGTGAAGTAACTCTAAAATCAATTTATTGTAATTGTGGTTGTTTCAATTTATTTCACTGCTCACTTACAGGCAGTACAGAATTAAACCAAGAAACACAAATAAGTAATTTGCTTGAAAATATTCTATATTACGTATAATTCTTTTACCAAGTCTAGGTACTGAAGGGGGAAAACGAAAATTTGATGATTGTAAGAAAACTAGCCAAGGTCTAACATTTTGCCTCTGTTGTTGAATCCATTCTTTGGGATCTGGAATTTCATTAGGGAATTGAAGAAAGCTAAAACATACACTTGCTAATAATAAAATTTAATTAAGAAAAAAGCATATTGGTAACCTGGGAAAAGTTCTAGGTTTCGTGGAGTTTATCGGAGGGTCCATTTCTCCGCTAACATCTACTGCTACTTCCGCCATAATAAAATTAAGCAAGTGAAAGTTGTAGTTTATATCTGCTTATTATTTTTACATGTATGTCTGAAAAATCACTCAAAGAAAAATTGAAAACATAAAAATGTTGATGTATTTTTGCTGTCAGTCATATTACGAATTCACAGTATTCGACATCTTTTGATTCTTTTGCTCATGACATCATGATCCATTCATGACCTTGGCTCATGACAGTTTTAAATTCCCCCAAAAACTATCCATAGACATAAAATACTCACACGCAGGGTTTGGAAGTAGTTAATTAAGACGTAATTTACCTGATTAACTACGTGTAGTTTTTCTTCAAAAACTACGCCTTTTCCCGTTCATTAACTACATGAAACTTTTATGAGGCCTATAATATTTTTAGTCATTCATGAATACAGTAATTTTTGAATTATTTTTTTTTAATTTTTTCTTTTCGTGGATTCCACATTTACTAAATTATGGTTTCTAAATTTTACAGAAAAACATGAAGAGCTTTACTCTATTCCCTAATACCCATCCTTTATATTATAATTATACATGATTAATACGGCGTCATATTATCTATTTTAATCTATGGATTCCGTTCAGCTGACTCATCAACAACAAACAACATTCAACCTCAGTTGTCAACAGGGTTCGGAAGTAGTTAATTAAGACGTAATTTACCTGATTAACTACGTGTAGTTTTTCTTCAAAAACTACGTCTCTTCCCGTTCATTAACTACATGAAAACTACGTTAATAAACTATGTATTGATATTATGAATAATTTTCATTTGTATGAGGTGTAATAGAGATAATATGATGTAAATATTATATTTAAAGCCATATTTCTTCTGTTTTCTTAAATACATTATGTGTTTTTAAGCTTCAACTTATTATAACCTCATCTCAAACTTTTGATATTTGAAAGTTACATACATAGGTTACATAAACTACATCCTCTACATAAACTACATTAACTACATGTAATGTAGTTTATGTAGTTTTTAAAACTAACATGTAGTTTTCCGAACCCTGGTTGTCAATGTCAATATTGTCATTCGATCTGTAAACATATGAACCGAACTTTCCCAAGACAAGAAATTTGTATAACTTTTGAAGTATTTTTGTATTCAGTTTCTCTGCCAGTTTTGGTATTTGGAGTGCTTTGTCATCGACTTCACTTAATAGAATAAGTTTGCCTTCAATCATAGACTTGAATGTTCTTGCCTCAAAATGGCACATTGGGGATCTTTAGATTCTGGAATTTTACGAAAAACGAAAACAGACAAAAATCTAGAAGACATACTGGTATTCGGATATTCGTGTAAAATCTTTCGGGACGATGAGAAAGCCTTATATATAGATCAAGGCAAACATCTTATTCCTTGGATGGGAGATGATAAATTAAAGATAGATAGGTATGATTTCCTATTTGTAATAGTTTCAGTAAAATCATTTTGAATATAAATTGTTTTAGATATGATTGCAGAGGAGCTTTATCTGATATTAAGCAATATGAGGCTAGCCGGGAAGGTTATGACGCAATGCGCTGGCTCGGTCTAAGTGACTCTGAAAGAAAACTGGAAGAGCTTTGTGATAATGAAAGATATTACTCTCTTGAAATAAATGAGGAAGAGGAAGAAATGTACAAAGGTACTTGTTCGATAAAATTGACAGCATAATTAAGTTTTTTTATTAAAATATATTTAGGAAAAATAGAATAAATATTTGTCCATTAAAACTGTATTAATTGCACCAATTTATTAATTTAATAAATATTTTAGAGGAAGAAGCTAAAAGAGTAAAAACCAATACTATTTCATTTAACTATGACACCCCACAATCTTCTCAAGAAGTTGAGACAAAGAGTGGAATTCCTACAGTACCAGAAAAGGAAGAAGAAGATGAACTTTATGTACCTTCACCTGTATTAGATGTGCCTGTAGATATAAGTATTGTAAGTCAACTATTTTAATTATACAGTGTGTTTCAAAAAACATTTGCCATCTCTTGTGGGGATTCCTTACGTACAAATAAGATTTGCCTTGTTTTGTAGCTGCAGGGTGTTAGTCTTAATATGTTTTCGATTTATTGTAATTCTCTTCCAACTACCTTTAGCGTTTCGAATGAAATTTTGAGGGTATAAGTTCCTATAAATGTGACATATTTTAAAGCTATAAAAGTGTCGACATATTCACCAGGGACGTGCATATTATGGGTTATCACTGGAATATTTTTCTAAAAAAAAAGAATGTACGCCACTGATTTTTTTTCTTGTTAGCGAAATAGTGTAAGCAGTTTAATGCTGATCGAAAGTTGTCTCTTGATATTTTGTCGTTTTCGGTCTCCTTGATGGGATAAATTCAATTTTATCAATTTGCCTTGATCCATCTAATAGCAACCTTTAAAAAAATTTAATATCATTAACTTGCGAAAGTATTAAATTATTATATTATATTGATTCCTCATCAAGAAATATGAAAAAAAATTCTATAAACATGGGTATGGAAATGCATAGTTTTAGACTTACAGGATGTTACAACTTTTTAAAATCAGGTTTTTTGTAATTATCTTAAATATCATTATTTTTTATTTGAAATTGTTGTAGGTTGGACTAATAGTAATAATAACTAATAGTAATAATATTTAATAATAAATTAGGTAAAATATATAATTATTAATTTAATTTTAATTTTATTAATTGTAATTAATAAAATTGCGTTTATCTCATCAAGGAGGCCGAATTCTACAAAATATCAAGAGATAACTTTTAATTGGCATTAAACGGCCTACACAAAGAAAAAAAGTCAGTAGCGCACATGTTTTTTTTTTTGAAAAATATTCCATTAATAACCCATATCACAACCCCCATATCCTTGTTTATATATTCTTAAAGTTGTTCAAACGACTAGACAAAATGTGCTGCCAACTCGAGGACAAATCGTGAACCTTTCGGGGCGGAGTCAAAAATATCGATTATTTTCGTTATTTTCCTCAGAGTAATGTAATAATATAGCCCGGGTTTCTACGAACTTTAATAGTGATCAGCTGATTAAGAAATTTAAACAAAACTTTTATTTTATTGGAAATTGTGGATTATTTTTGCCTGTTATTTTGAGAATTCTAAACCGTATTAACAAAGAAATTATTATTTTGATATGTTGGTACATTATTTATAATAATTTATGATAATGCTAATTGCTATTAATTAATATTTAAAAAAAGCTACATACCTATTTTAATTTGATTTAATGCAGGTTTATAAAAGAATCATTTCATTCTTAGATTATTTTATTCTAAATTGAGTGCTTTACGAATTTTACGATATTTTTTTTTGAAAACAAAACTTTTTACATTCTTGATGCCAACTAATTGGCATGGTATTATTGGTATGGAAATTAGCCAAGAAAGAAAAGGATTGGCTATAACTTGTAATTTTTCGAAAAAAACATATTATACCTACCTATATCGCTGAAAAGCTTAAAAAATGACGCTTTTTATGAAGTCATGGCCAACTATGGTTTCCATTTAAAAAAAACATAACGTTTGTGTCATATATGTCAAAAATGACAGGCTTTAGAAAAAAAAAACAGAAAACACAAACTCATTAGGTATGTGATTATCTACTTTATGTGAAAACTTTTTGTCTAAAATACCGTATGATCGAATAAAAACGGCGTCAGTGATGGCTATGAAATGACGATCGATGATATTTCCCATATAATTTTACATATAAAATGACAGCGATCTTCATTTCATAGACATCGTTGACGCCGTTTTTATTCGATCATACGGTAGATTATAATGGAATTAGAGACAAAAGTTTTAAAATAGCCAAAATTCGTTTTTTTCGAAATATCTAGTAAGCGTTGAACTTCTCCGAAAAATCCATAGACTTAAAATATTTTATTTTAAGTTTATGGAAAAATCCGAAAGGCGCATATTTATGACCCCACAAAACTGCAATTGTTTCCCCATTTAACCGACTCTCTATCTCCAGTCTCCAGTAGTTTCCGAGATACCCATAGAGAACATCGTAGGAAACTCACCCTGTGTAGTGTTTAGAAACTAACTATTATTATTATTTGACTAGATTAATTTGATTAATAAGACTCGATTAATTTAATTTAAAATAAATTTGATTAAATTTTTTTTTCGTATATTCTACTACCAAAAAACCAAAATTATATGATAATGCACTTTTCAACGAAGTTGAAGGAAGATATAGTGTATCTATCACAATACTTAATAGAATTACTACAATTAGAAGAAAAAATACCCAAATACCTTCACCTACTACTCATCTACAAAATAAACTAATATAATCTCTTATAAAAACACTACACAACTACTTCTTGTATTCTACACTGAAAAAATTATCAAACTTACTAATTAATCAAACAAAAAGAACTACTACTTAATTACAAAATAATAAACTATAAAAACACTACTAAACTATTTGTGGTATTCTACACTAAACATTATAATTAAACTTAATAAAATTAATCTAATTTTACACCACAACCACTACAAAGAAATAAGAACGTTTTTTATAACTAGAAGAAACAGAACTTCGATACGTGCGACCAGTATAATAGATCAAGCGGACAAAGAATATAAAATACTTTAAAAATGTGCATTCAGAAAGAAAAAATATCTCGAAAATTATCTAAACAAACATTTTTTTTCTTATCAGTGAAAAGCATCGGCTTCGTCGGCCTTGCGGAATTTGTCGGGTTTTTATAATGGTCGAATTGTATAATTACCAGCTTTTATAGCATATCTAATAGATAAAAACTACCTGGTCGATTAGTAACCAATTGGCACAGTCCGAAAATTATCGAGTTTTATTTTCTCTGTTTTTATTGGTCGCTTCAAAATTCAGAGTAACAAAAAATATTTTTCTGTAGTAAAAGACCGTGAAATACGCCCCGCCATCTGGTGCTTTACATCCATAAACGTCTTAGGTTGAGCTACTTTAAAAATCCATATACAAGGCCCATATGCACGTCGCTGATGAATTTATCGACACAGCATTAAAATATGTAGAACTTATAGTAACTTTTACCCTCAAAATTTCATTTGAATCACTAAAAGTACTTGGAAGAAAATTATAATAAATCGAAAAATTATTAAGACTTCAACACCCTGTAGCTACGAAACAAAGCAGAATCGGACCTATGTTGATATGAGAAATAAATCTTATTTTTACTTGAGGAATCCCTCTCCGAGAGATGGCACACGTTTTTGAAACACCCTGTATATTTTAAATCTTGAAATTTAGGGACATTTCAGAATAATATATTGTGTTATATTGCAAATTAATCTAATATTAGATGTAAAAGTTCTAGAATTAATTTGAAAAATTATTTGAAAAGTAACTTCTTGCTTTAATGTCTGTTCTTTTCTTAAGCCTAAAACTGTAAAGGAGTATGTTCGTATAGAAAAAACAGCTCTGTTTGTCTGCCGCCAAGGACTTCAAATGGAAATTCTTATCAAGGCTAAGCAGTCGGATAATCCTCAGTTCAGTTTTTTGATGGTGAATGATCCATTATATAAATTTTACAGACACGTTTTGTCCGCTTTTAAGAATGGAAGATATCAACCACAAAATGAAATAAAAACAAGTAAGATTTGATCATCATTTAGTTCAAAATAGTATTTATATTCCATAGCGATAAATCTCTGTTTATATCTGTTAAATAATTAATTTATATCTGTAATATTTTTTACAGTAATTATTGTTTTAGGTGAACAACAGTCCTCCACTGAGAATGAAGAAACCGATCAAAGTTCCCACTATTTGCATCCTAGCCTTATGATGGGTAGTGTCAAAGCGGTAAGTTTCTCTTAAATATATCATATTAAAAACTAACTTAGATATAATTATTTGACTTATAGTATCTATAATAATTAGGTAAATATATTACACACTAAAACTAGCGTGAATCTCCCTTGGACTGTATTAGCACTTACAAGTTACAATATTTCAAATATTGACCTATTAGTAAGTAGTACCATAATCAACAGATTAGACACCGAATGTAATTTATAAAATTTAAAAACTATAAAAGTATACCGGGTGCGTCTCAAAAGTGGCTCACCGCCTATAACTTTTTTATTTTTTCATATAAAAAACGAGATTTGGTATGTTAGTATATGACATAAATTAGGATTGATTGACGTATTCAATTATTTTTGGTCACTTCCTGTTTCACCGGAAATGACTACAGCTTTTGATTTTTAAATGGCACCCTCGGTATTTTATTACTTTATTAGATAGAAAATGGCATTCTGAATAGAATGACATATCATATGTCAACTTTTTTTTTTAGCTTAATAAAAAATTGTATTTTAAAATTCAATCTAGAGTGCCATGGCTATGTTAAAAACACTAATTCTTAATCAAGGGGCCTTGGAAAAATAGATTTGATCGTCTAATGGTTTTAGAGTCTTGTCTGGGCCAGTTAGAAAATGCTCAAATCGTATTTTAATCATACCTCATTATTTTCAAATGGAATGAGGGTGGCTCATTAGCATATTTGGAAAAAGCATTTTTTTTACGAATAATTTGATACCACACACTGGGTATTTCGAGTCAAATTTTCGTTCCGAACCGAAAGTTATAACTCCAAGCAAACCGTATGCGAAAATGTCAAAAGTTGCCATATGATATGTCATTCTATTCAGAGTGTTATTTTCTAACGAATAAAGCAAAAAAATACCGAGCGTGCCATTAAAAACCAAAAGTTGTAGTCGTTTCCGGCGAAACAGAAAGTGACCGAAAACAATTGAATACGTCAATCGATTCTAATTTATGTCATTTACTAACATACTAAATCTCGTTTTTTTACCTAAAGAAATAAAAAAGTTATAGGGGTGAGCTACTTTTGAGACGCGCCCGGTATATATAAACTATAAGTTGATTTTAAGAAAGCACTTATATTAGTGAAGATAATTGTTTTTTATGACTATCATCACTAGTAGTTATTATTTCATCTTATTTTTTTAATAACACTATAAATGTTTTACAAAAAGTAAAAAAAAACGATATTTGTCACTAATTTTCGGTTTTATAATTATTACTTTCAGCTGCATCAGCATATTAAAAAGTGGCATATGCTAAGGAATATGGAAGGATTCCAAGGTCAATTCTGAACTTATTAATTTATTTATTCAATTGAAAATAGGAGTAATTATATATACATCATGCACAACATGACACATAAATTGAAAATTGAAATTTAAAATATCACAAATATAGGTAAACCGGTTGAGCCTCAAGAGTGGCTCACCCCTATAGTTTTTTATTTTTTCAGATAAAAAACGCGATTTGGTATGTTAGTATATGACATAAATTAGGATTGATTGACATATTCAATTGTACGCAGAAAGAAAAAATCGTGGGTGTTTGGGAAGGCTCGAAAGGAAACAATGTTTTTGCGACGTTTCGCGACTTTATTGTCGCTTCTGCAGGCACTATAGGAGAAGCAGTTTTTTAAAAAATATCAAAATAAAATTAACTGGCCACTTAACCAAAACACATTAATCCATATTTTGCCTAAAAACATTCATGGCGATTCCAACCGCCAACACTAAGCCACATACGGAAGAAAGAACAAAAACTTAAGGGTATTTTTTGCCCGACGTACACCGATGCTCGGTTTGTGTCGTACTGACACCAGTTGAATTAATTTCGGTACCAAAAAAGGATTAATTTTTTGTTTCCTTTATCATTAATTTCTTTCCCCGTGTTTCTGGTGCTCTTAAGAGCCCCAGTCAATTTCTTATGTTCAGGTTGGGTGGCATCGCCATAAACAAACAAATGGAATCATTAAAGTGGGCCTGATAGGAATTAAAATTAAATAATTTTTTGAAATTATTTGTCAACAAATAAAAGATAAAAGAATTAAAAAAAAAGTATTAGAAATTAAAGAAACATATAAAAGAAAAAAAAAAGTTGCGTTTGGTTGAGATCGAATTAAAAACTATAAAAATAATACATTGAGTACACAAGTATAAACAAAAATAATTAACAGGTGTAGACAACACATCCACAAAAATTGAATTTAGCAATATCAATACTGGCAATATTGCCATAACAATAACTCTGTACAGAAAAAAAAAACACACATTCGCGACGGAAAAAGTAAGAGAGCTTTAAAGAAAGACACACAAAATATTCACACCCGAAAGCACCCCCAATACACCAAAAAGCCGTGTATGGTTAAACCTTTCTTTTTTCATTAATTTTTCTGTACTTATTTAAAATGTTGCTATATATTACACTAAGACCTTTGGTATCAGACCTCATGTTGACCGTTTTGTTCAAATTAATATGAATTATTTCGCCTAGATTACGTTTGTACCAAACCAAACCATAACATCATCAAAATTAAATTCATGTCCGGTGTCAAAATGGTGTGAGGCTAAAGCAGTTTTATCCTTTTTAGATTTGTTCCGAGTATTGCAATCATTTCTATGTTGATTAATCCTATTACCTAAATATTGCTTAGTCTGACCTATGTAACAACTGCCGCAAGAACAAGGAATGCTGTAAATTAAGTTGGATTGTTTTAGCAACGGAGTTGGATCTTTGATCTTAGTATACAAGAACGATGTCGTTTTTGAATTATAAAGTGCTAAATTAGTGTTAGTGTTCATAAAGCATCGATTGATTTTATGTAAAAGGTTATCAATAAAAGGAAATCTGACATATTTAGTTCCAGGTTCAACTAACGAGGTACCCAGTTTTTTAGATTTGTTCCTGTTAATACATCATTTTTTTTAATTCTTTTATCTTTTATTTGTTGACAAATAATTTCAAAAATTTATTTAATTTTAATTCCTATCAGGCCCACTTTAATGATTCCATTTGTTTATGGCGATGCCGACCAGCCTGAACATAAGAAATTGACTGGGGCTCTTAAGAGCCCCAGAAACACGGGGAAAAAAATTAATGATAAAGGAAACAAAAAATAAATCCTTTTTTGGTACCGAAATTAATTCAACTGGTGTCAGTACGACACAAACCGAGCATCGGTGTACGTCGGGCAAAAAATACCCATTTTTACCCAAGTTTTTGTTCTTTCTTCCGTATGTGGCTTAGTGTTGGCGGTTGGAATTGCCATGAATTTTTTTAGGCAAAATATGCATTAATGTGTTTTGGGTAAGTGGCCAGTTAATTTTATTTTGATATTTTTTAAAAAATTGCTTCTACTATAGTGCCTGAAGAAGCGACAATAAAGTCGCGAAACGTCGCAAAAACATTGTTTCCTTTCGAGCCTTCCCAAACACCCACGATTTTTTTCTTTCTGCGTATTAATTATTACTGGGAACTAACAATAATCATAATATTCAGTTGTTTTTGGTCACATCCCGATTCACTGGAAATGACTACAACTTTTGATTTTTAAATAGCATCCTCGGTATATTTTTACTTTATTCCATAGAAAAAGACATTCTGAGTATAATGACGTATCATATGTCAACTTTTCGCTTTTTTCATTTTGACTTAAAAAAATCGTATTTTAAATTTCAATCTACAGTGCCATGGCTGTGTTAAAAACACTAATTTTTAATAAAGGTGCCTTGGAAAAAATAGATTTGATTGTCAAATGTTTTTCGTGTCTTCTCCTGGCCGGTTAAAAGATGCCCAAATCGTGTTTTTAATATTATCTGAATTTTTTCAAATGAAACAAAGGTGGTTCATTAGCATATTTGTGAAAAGGATTTTTCTACGAATAATTTGGTCCCACACACTTGGTATTTCGAGTCAAATCCTCGTTATGAACAGCATGGTACAATTTCAAATAAACCCTATGCGAAAATGTCAAAAGTTGACATATGATATGTCATTCTATTCACAGTGTCATTTAAAAATCAAAACTTGTGGTCATTTCCGGTGAAACAGGAAGTGACCAAAAACAATTGAATACGTCAATCAATCCTAATTTATGTACTATTATAACAAATCTCGTTTTTTTATCTGAAAAAATAAAAATGTTATAGGGGTGAGCCACTTTTGAGACGCACCCGCTATATTTTCTGTCTCTAATGCCTGAATATAAAAATATTAAATTTGACTTGTTCCTCAATATTGTTGTTCTATAGTTTATTATTTATTAATAAACATTTACCGGGTACAGTAGGTTGAAATTAAGTATTTTTTACTTATTTCTATAATTATTTACTTCTTCAAATCTTATAAATTACATACTGTGTTACATTTGCGCTTTTCTGGAGTGTTTTCTATATCTTTATTTAAATTTCAGAATTTTTTCCTTTGCAAAATTATTATAATAATATTATATTTTATGTTACAGGTGTGCTTTTTTCTGAGTTAGAAAGTTTTCTATTAGGAGCTGATTGATTTCATCCCACCAGGAGACAACAGAAATACACTGTGATAAAATTTATCATAGTGTACGTGAATTTACTAAATATATGAAATTAAACAGCAGCTTTTATTGATTAATTATATTATTTTTTTGAATTAGAACTTATACAAGTTTTGATATCAGTAATTGATAAAAAACTGCTATAAGTTCTATTATAATCCTGATTATACAGGTTGGTCTGAACTGTATTCCGGAAACTTCGGCAGCATATTCTACAGATAAAAATAAGTAAAAAAGTTCATATAAATGTATGTCCAGAAATGTTTAGTTTCGAAGATACAGGGTGTAAATCATTTTTATTTCGATTTTTTGCAAATAATTTCTGAAGTTACGTCAATATTTGGATGAAAATTGGTGTCTGGGAGTTTTTTGACATGAAAATTTTGATTTTGATGTCAATATGACTCCTACTTGTAGAGGGCGCCATCTACATATTTTTTAACCGGTTTGAAGAGTAATAACTTTTCGTACGTACCTGTATAAAACTCCTGATTAAAAAATTATATATTTACTAAGTTTTTTACGTAAAAAGGGTCTCTTGGTAAAAATCGCTACGAGTAATGGTCCTCGAGATATTTGGAATCGAAATTATCAATACCTGTCATCATTAACATAAATTAAACATGTTGACTAAATAGTTATTACACTGAAATCATAAATTTGAAATGTAATTGTGTCAAAAGTTCAACAGAAACTCTTTTCTCATAATTTTTTTGAAGAAAAATTTATGATTAATTAAAAAAAAATAAAAATTCACAAATTTATCATTTTAGTCAAATAAGTATCTACTCAACATGTTTATTTTTTGTCAGTAATGACATGTATTGATTACTTCCATTCTAAATATCTTGAGAACGGTTGATCGTAGCAATTTTTACCAAGAAACATTTTTTACGTAGAAAATCACGGAAATGTATATTTTTTCACTCAGTAGTTTTATACAGGTACGAACGAGAAAAGTTATTACTTATCAAAACAGTTAAAGCACATGTAGGTGGCGCCCTCTACAAATAGGAGTCTTATTGACATCAAAATCAAATTTCCCATGCAAAAAAATTCCCGGACACCAATTTTCATCCAAATATTGAAGTTACTTCAGAACATATTTGGAAAAAATCGAAATAAACATGAAACTTCTACTCCCTGTATCTCCGAAACTAAGTATTTTAGGACATACATTTATACGAACTTTTTTACTTATTTTTATCTGTAGAATATGCTGCCAAAGTTTCCGGAATACAGTTCGGACCACCCTGTATAACGGTTATAAAGAGATGGGCTAAGATGTTTTATACAACCGTCAGCAATAAAAGTCAACGTTGGCGATGTTATGGTGAATTTCCACATTTTGACCAAAACTGAAAAATTTAATGCAAAAGTTTTAAGCACTAAATATTAATTAAAATTGTTGCTCTACAATTATGGTAAAAACAAATGTGTTTTCAACTCTTGCATTTATATCAGTTTATAAATTTCATACAGCCGGACCTTTCAAGGTCACATCTCTTCATTAAATTGGATTAACTAACATCTATATTTTTTTGAACAGATACAACCTTCGGTATCGGTACCGTCAATTCCATATCGGCCCTCAGCAGATTGTTCCTACAGTCAACTGGTTAATCGTATACAAGGCTCAAGCTTAAGTACTTCAAACAATTCAGACATGCAAGTCACGGGACACAGCATTAACGCCCAAGATGCAATGTATGGTTTTGTTCCTGCTACCAGTAACGACAATATAAATGGTTCCGTAGTTACGCCAAATATAGAGCAACAGTATTATCAATACTATTATGTTCAGCAGTGGTATGAATATTGGAGGCATGCTGTGTTAAATGGAGAGCAAGGAGGTAAGTTTTTTCAAAGACACTTGGTATATATGTGTACAAGGTGTCCCACTAAGAATAGCTCTCGGCTGTAGCTTGGAAAGTATTAGCCGCAGGGCCTACGGAAAAAAAAAATATTTAAAACTAAAGGGGCTATGAGAAATTGCTGGAAATTGTTTTCAAGTTTGTAAAACGGCAGCTAGAGGGCGCAACTGCTATGGAAAATAAGAAAATAGAATTTCAACAAAATTTTGCCTAGATAATGCGTATTATAGGGAAATTGGAACAACTTTCGTTGCACGTCATCAATGACACCATGCGTGGTCTTATATGGAGTTTGCTGGTGGTCGTATTATGATGTGCAACGAAAGTTATTTTAATTTCCCTTTATAAAACAAAAATAAAATAAATAAATAAATAAATGACTTTATTGTCAAAAAATTTTTCAATTTGTAGACAAAGGTAAACTAACAAACAAAGTAAAAAAACAAGTTACACAAACAAACAAACAAAAGATAATACAAAACATTATACAAATAATATTGTCAGTCTTATTGTTAAAATAAACATTTATAAATATTTATAATGTCAAAGAACAAAAAAATAAAAATAATATAATATTCAAATTAAATTAATAATATTCAATTTAAATAAAATAAAATAATATATTTACGGACCAGCCATTTAAATGTACATACAACAATAATTATAATTACAACTAGAATAAAATCCATCACAACAGAAACTTTACAATAAATTACTACAAAACCACCGCCTTTACTTTATTCTTGAAACTATTTATATTATCACAGAAGAAGTCGATATCACAATCTTTATCAATAATCTGATTAGCCTCTACACAAAATCTTGTAAGCGCAGATGACATTCCATAATTAGTTCTGTGAAAAGGTATATGGAACAGACCGAACCCACGCAGACTTCTCCCCGGAACATGCAAAGATAGTTCGCTTAGTAAGCTGGGACAGTCAATCTGAGAGTTGAGAATCTTGAAAAGTGTGCAAATATCTATAAATTCTCTCCGATCTCCCAAATTTGGCAAATTCAATGAATACATTATTTCCTCAATTGCAATATCTTCCACGGGGATTCCCATCTTAAAGCCCACAAACCTCAAGAATTTTCTCTGTATACGTTCGATCTGCTCCACATAGATCTTATAATATGGACCCCAGACTGGGCAAGCATATTCTAGTATCGATCTCACATAGGATATATATAAAGTTTTGATACAGTTTATGTCATTAAAATCAGTTAACGTTCTTTTAATAAAACCCAACATCTTTAACGCTTTGTTTGTCATGAAGTTAATATGATAATTAAAATTCAGATCCTTAACAAAGTATACACCTAGATCTTTCATCACATCAGTTTTATCTAAAATATCATCTTGAATCTTATAATCATAAAATAAAACATTTTTCTTTCTGTAGAACTGCATTACTTTACACTTTGATATATTTAATGACATCCCATTCAACCTACACCATTCACTCAATCCATTCAAATCCTGTTGCAACTTAAAGCAGTCATCCAGTGACTGAATTATCTTGTAAATTTTGAGATCATCCGCGTATAACAAAAATTTAGAGTGTGTAATAAAGTCGGTTACATCATTAATAAATATATTGAAAAGCAGCGAAGATAAATGAGACCCCTGTGGAACTCCGGACTCGACTAAAATCTCCCTAGAAGTGAACCCTTTAATTTTAACAATTTGTCTTCGTTCCATTAAATAACTTTTAAACCATGACAGAAGATTTCCACAAATTCCATACCTCTCCAATTTCTCCACCAGCAGATTATGATTGACTCTATCGAATGCTTTAGAAAAATCTGTGTAAATAGCACCGATTTGTTGTTTCTTCTCTAGAGATGTTTTTAATTCATTTTCATAGACTAATAAATTTGTAATTGTAGATTTTCCTTTTCTAAAGCCATGCTGATAATCGGTTAATATATTTTGAAATTTCGGTTTGATTTTGCTATCAGTAATTGATTCGAAGATTTTGGCAAGTATGGAATTCCTAGAAATCGCTCTGTAATTAGTGATCTCAGATCGGTTACCACTTTTGAAAACAGGTGTTACATGACACCTTCCATTGGTCCGGATATTCCCCTTTGGCAGACAGATAGCTTAAAAAGAATACATAAAATGTGTGACAGTATGAAACAAAATTTTTTTAAAAACATCACAGGAATCCTGTCAGGACCTGCAGATAAATGATTATTTAATCTAAAAATATCATTATATATATATATATATATATATATATATATATATATATATATATATATATATATATATATATATATATATATAGTTTCCTCAACATCACATCTCTCAATATACTACACTGTTGCTTACATTAATATATATCAGTTTCCTCAACATCACATCTCTCAATCACTACACTGTTGCTTACATTAAAATCATAGGTGTGGCATGTTACATTACTATTATAGACCGAAGAAAAATGATCAAATAATCTGATATTACAGTACCATCATCGGAGGTTTCAGAATTGTAAGACATTAGATGTGGCAATTCAGAGTTCTTACTTTTTGAATTAACATAATTCCAAAACTGCTTAGAGTCACTATTTATCGAAATTTGTATGTTTTCAATATATCTCTCGTAGCATGCCCTAGCCAAGGCCTTACACTCCCGTCGAAAATGAGAGAAAACTCCATAATCATTCAGCGATTTGGATTCCTTGAACTTTTTATGTGCAATCTTTTTATTGATTATTATTATTATTGATTATTACTTATTCTTTAAGTTCATTATCATACCATGGTGATGAGAATTTGGGTTTTTTTTATTTTTTTATGGGGATATATAAATCAAAAGCCATATAAACTATGCTGTAAAATGAATAGATATTTTCCCCAAGAATATTAGAATTCCACAAATTCTCCCATACAGGCCTAAGAAATCATTGATAGCTCCAAAATCCCCATTCTTGAAATCATAATATTCATAATCAAAGTTCAAGGTGTTCGCTTCTGTGAAATACCAAATTCAAATGTTAAAGCCGGATGATACTTATCCAATGAAAGTAGAGGTTGCTCTGCTAAGACAATCTCCGTCTCAATATTGCTGAGAACCCGATCGAGGTAACCCCCCAATACATTTGCAATCCTATTAAACTGCGACAAATTAAGGTAAGCAAAGAGATTGGACAAAACTTGACTCTGAGGGTTAACATTACCCACTGCCAGGGTACCTCGATCATCATTAATCCAATTTACATTAGGGATGTTGAAGTCTCAATAATATATAGTTGATTATCAATAATATTTTCCACAGCACTACAGTACCCCTCATAGAGTTCAATGGTGGATTGAGGGGGTAAATATACAACACTGATAAAAATCCCCGAGCCACCCTTAGACAATGCCACAAATACACATTCAATATCCTGAGGACCCACAATTCGACTAGCTGAAATTCCTGGTTTCACTGCGATCAACACACCACCTCCTCTGGAACACGCACTAGTTCTCTGGTTCCTATCACATCTAAATATGAAATAGTCTTTTAGGCCGAGTTCGCTATCCAAAATGTCATCATTTAGCCATGTCTCTATAAAAACAATAATGTCATAGTCATGTATGTCCACAGAACTTTCCAAAGTCTTAAGCTTTGTTCTTATGCCCCTCACATTCTGATAATTAACTCGAAGCTGGCCCCTAGAACTTATAATCGGTCCTGTTCTGGATGGTTCTGGAAAATTTCGACCTGGATGGTTCTGCCTGCGTTCATATGATCGATAATTGTTATTCCTTGATGAATTATAGCCTCGAGCATTGTTTTCATTATAGTAATTGTTATAATTATAGAATCGCCTGGTCCCTTGAGTGCTACGTTCTTCGTTCCCCTGGCGATGATTGTTGTCATATCGCCTGGGCTCTTCATGATTGCTACGATCACCATTTCTTTGATGTACAGGCTTATGTAAACTCATACTCACGTCTTTACGGAAGTTGTATCTTCTGAAAACAATGTGAGCAGGCCAGAATCTAGGATCGTTGAGGGTTTCATAATGGCTCGATTCTATTCCGATTTTAAATGAGTTTTTCCTTTCGTTTGAAGTTGCTGAACAACCAGATCACTATCATTCATATTGATTTTCCTTTTTATAAAATTCTTAACTGCCTCTTCATTGGATTTTTCGGTTACTCGCCCGATGTATAGCCACATCATACCTACTTCTCCCCTAAAATCCTCCAATCCGTCGTTTCCAGATCCCCTGAGGACGGCCCCCGTAGAACCAATCTCCTTATTAGGCTTCGTGAGATCCCGAAGGTTGGAGCTGTAGAGAGATCCAAGTGCATCACTCACCGCGACCCAAACAGCCTCCGCAGTCACCGGAATACATTCACTCCTTTCAGAAAGCCTACCCTCATCATTAGGTGTTAAGGAGTGCTGTATAGCATGGGCTTTCCGAGTATTGAGTAGCTCCTTAAATGCTTCCAATCTGTTAGTCAGGTTTTCCTTCAGATCATCTAACTTCTGGGTGTAAGCGTTAGCGATTTCATCCTTTAATGACAAGACCGATGCCGTGAGTTGGACCTGCAGTTTTTCCAACTGGTGTTCCATGTGGTTGTTTGTGCTTGTGGGGCTTCTCATCTTCACCATGCTTATACATTGGGAGCACGCGAATAAAAGAATACGCCCTTTCGCCAGTTGAGTGACCCGAGTCTCCGAGGAGGATAGTCCTGAGCATGGGATACAATGGGCGTCATTGCAGAAATCACATATTATTTTCGCCTTAACCTCTTCCGCCGAAAGCGTTTTATCGCACCTGGAGCAGGACATATCCTATCATATGCACAGAATTGGGATTCTGAAACACTGTGCGGCGGCACGGCAGCAATATGACCTCAAAGGAATTTAAAGGTCAAACGAAAGACTTTTGGAACAAAGTACGATATCTCCGAAAAAAGCAGTTCGGCAGGTCGTAAATTGTAATTTTTGTTCCGACAATAAACAGACACACAACGTCACTTAAAGGTTATGTAAAAATCTCTCTCTCTCTCTCTCTCTCTCTCTCTCTCTCTCTTTCGATACATTTTTATCAACCAACCATATAATGGCTCCTGAGATTTTGTCCCGCTAGAATAATCATCCGCCGCACTGTGGAACGCTGATCCCTGCGTGACGTAAGCATTCACGGTGACTACGATAGCGGCGATTTGACGCGATCGAACAGTTCTTTAGAATATATACAGGGTGGTCCGAACTGAATTCCGGAAACTTCGTCAGCATATTCTGCAGATAAAAATAAGTGAAAAAGTTAGTATAAATGTATGTCCTAAAATGCTTAATTTCGGAGATACAGGGTGTTGAAGTTTCATTTTTATTTTGAGTTTTTCCATATAATTTATGAAGTAACGTCAACATTTGGATGAAAATTGGTGTCTGGGAGTTTTTGGATATGAGAAATTTGATTTAGATGTCAATATGACTCCTACTTGTAGAGAGCGCCACCTACATATTTTTTAACTGGTTTGAAGTATAATAACTTTTCGTCCTTACCTGTATAAAACTACTGAGTAAAAAAATATACATAGGCGATGTTTTTTACGTAAAGAAGGTCTCTTGGTAAAAATCGCTACGAGTAATGGTTCTCGAGATATTTGGAACCGAAATTATCAATACCTGTCTTCATTAACATAAATTAAACATGTTGAATAAATAGTTATTAGACTGAAATATTAAATTTGAAATTTTTTTGTGTCAAAAGTTCAACAGAAAATGTTTTATCACCATTTTTTCGCAGAAAAGTGTATGATTAATTTGAAAAAAATTATTTATTATTTCAGTCAAATAACTATCTACTCAACGTGTTTACTTTTTGTCAATAGTGACATGTATTGACTATTTCTATTATAAATATCTTGAGAACGGTTGCTCGTAGCGATTTTTGCCAAGAGACATTTTTTACGTAAAAAGTGACGGAAATGTATATTTTCTTATTCAGTAGTTTTATACAGGTACGGACGAAAAGTTATTACTCTTCAAATCAGTTAAAACACATGTAGGTGGCGCCCTCTACAAATAAGAGTCATATTGACATCAAAATTAAATTTCTTATATCAAAAAACTCCCAGATACCAATTTTCATCCAAATATTGCCGTTATTTCAGAAATTATTTGGAAAAAATCGAAACAAAAATGAAACTTCTACACCCTGTATCTCCGAAACTAAGCATTTTGGGACATACATTTATACGAACTTTTTTTCTTATTTTTATGTGCAGAATAAGCTGCCGAAGTTTCCGGAATACAGTTCGGACCACCCTGTATAGTCCTTGGGTTAGACTACACTTTAGTCAATTTAATATTTTACATTTAAATTACATTTGTTTCAGCTGCTTATGCAAATTTACCTACAGATTTTATGCAACTGGATGCGAATATGCAAAACTATATTCATCAAATGGCTTGGAATCAATATAGTCAGCAACAGAAACAATCAGTTTTAGAAGCTAATTCAAATAATAATTCGTACGCACAAATTGGTATAAAATATACAATAGCGCCTTCTAGCTCACTTTATACTTTATTTTTTTAGTATCTAATTTGAATAAAGATGGCGGCAATCCATACACAGCAAATGTTCCACAACTGCCCGAGGAACCCGAGATTGTGTCAAAAGATAATAAAAATGACAAAGTATCGTCTCAGTCAGAACCCAGTCAAGGTAAGGAATTTCTATAACTTTAAATTCCCAATTATTAATTAGTCGTTATTATTATTATTTTTAGGAAAGCCTACTCTATTATCATTGGCAGCTGCATATGGATCTGATTCTAGCGACTCTGATATGTCTGATACGGAAGAACAAATAAAAACGAAGACTGTTATATTCAAGTAAAATCTTGTAAAAATGGACATGAAAATGTACATAATATTTTCATTATTTTTTTTAGAGAACCTTCAGGAGATGCTCAAGTAGTTATAGATAAAATGGCAGATTATGTATTCAAAAACGGCATTCAGTTTGAGGAAATCATTAAACAAAAAAATGATTCCAGATTCGACTTTTTAAATGAAACACACGAATATTATAAATATTACAGGTAAATTTAACCATAGTTAGTCTTAAGCCACAGAAATCCTCAGCAATACAGATGCGAAAGTAGGTAAGCGTCGGCTCCTTCGAAATTTGCGATCTAAATTTGTTGACCTTAGATTTACATATTTTCACAAATTAAACTCTGAGAAAATGTCTCCAATTTTATGGAAATACGTTTTTAAATATACTGAAAAAAATACAGGGTGTCCCAATATTCCGTGAATATAGAACTACCATGTATTTTTGGAATCAAAATAAGTTCTTTGGACACAATTTACCTCTATACAAAAGTGCTTCGTTTGTAAGCTAGAGGGCATCAAGTCTTAAAAAAATAAACACATTTTTCAGATATTTTAAGGACCTGTGTCTGTGTTTTGCTAAGTGCTTTAACAATTGACTTTTACAAAAATAAAGAAAAAGCAGTCGTAGTAGTTTGTTCTAATATAGCAGAAACCTGTTCTTAGTATGGTTACGCTTATGCGCAGTATGCAACTACACGTTAAAAAATAGTTTTGCGAGGGTCGGCGCGGAACGGCGCGCCCAATCTGGACGCACCTTAGTCGTCCATGAACCGTATCAGAACGGCGATTTCAATACCAGCCTAAAAGCAAGAGAATCAAAAGAACTGACATGCGTATTAAGCTGATTATTGTTTTGTTTTTATTTCTTTAGCAATTTTTAATTATTTTCTGTTTTTAATTTGCTGTGATTCTTCTTGTTTTATTTGGTACATATTTTAAATAAATATTTTTATTTGTTTTTTTTGTACTCAATATGTGTGTGATGAGTGATAAAGAGAACAATGATATTGAGTATGTGGTACCATAACTCATTGCGTATGTAAGATAGCATTGAAGATAATTTGAAACTTTTATTAAAGAAAGCAAAAGTGATTTTGTCTTAATTAAAAATAAACAAATTCAATAATCCGTAAATAAATCCAATAAAACTAAAAATTTATATCGAAAATATATCTAACCTATATTAGTAATGAAAAATTCGATTTTGAATTTCATCAAAAAACAGTTCAAAATCCGTTCCAACCTGCATTTAATTTTGGTATAGTAACCGAACTTTCCATGATGCAGGCGATGTCAATTACACAATATTGGAACACACCTATAAAATAATTACATAGTAAGGTAATTCTGTCATTAAGTTATTGTTAAGGAAATAATATTGTTTTTTAGATCCAAACTTAACGAATTAAAAGCAGCTATTCAAAAAAAGGTTAAGCACCAAGAAGAAAAAATACCCAAACCAAAGAAAATTATTGGTATGTTTATTATTTATGTAGTAAGCCAGATAAATTATTTTATTATATTTACAGCTCCAGTTAGCTTTTCAATTAAAAAAGCCAAAGAAGATGCGCCCAAAGAAATAAAAAGTGCTCTTCCACTTGAAGAATCCAGCGACGAAGAATCTTATTTAAATAGCAATTCTAAAAGTCCGCAAAGCTTAAAGGAGGTGCCTCAAACAATTGTAGTAGAGAAAGTTTTGTATAAAATTGGCCAACCAATTATTACAACCCTACCGCAGCCTAATAAGGAAGAAGCATTACCTGTATCTGAAATTGCATTATCCAATCAGCCTAGTAAAATTGACGCAGCGGATAAAATTCATGATATTGCAAATTCCCCTCCACAAGCCAAATTATTTGATTCGGAAAATATACAAACAAATCCTAAATCTGAAAAGGCAAAAGAACAATCACTTACTACTACTAAAAATAATAAATCTCCTATATTTGATATATTTGATACTGGCACTGACAGTAGTAACCAACAGCATCAAACTAAAGATATGCCAAATGAGAGTGATACAATTTTGGAATTAATAGAATTGGGAAATGAAGATAAAAGTAAGTATATGTCATGATGAAAACAGGTCTATGTATTTGTAATCGCAAAACATTTTCCCATGCACGTCATCAATCATATCAAAATTGACACTAAAGTCTAGAAACCTGAAATTTTGGCAAAAATGTCTAAATTTGTTGCACAATTTAAGATACCGAGCAGCACTTCATTTGACTTTATGGAGCAAATGATTGTAACAGATATTTTATTCAGATTAAAGCTGCAAAAATTAGTTTAAACCGAATTTTATTATCTCTATGTCGGTCACATTGCGCCGTTTTCAGCAAGGTTGTCGTTTATTATTTGACAATTAATTATCCTAGTGTCAGTCATTATTTTGTATAATATCGTGTTGTTGTTGAATCTTTGTGTGTAATTCTCGTTTTTTTGCGTATTTTCGTAGTCATTTTTTAAAAATTGCACTTTTAAACACAAACAATTCTTTTAAGAAATAAATTTTCGAGTTTTTGTATTGCATTTCTTGAAATTGTTTGTTGAAAATATGCCGAAACATTTAAACAGTCGAAGCAAAGAGCTTGTAATATACAGGGACTTTCAAAAAATGTATTTTTTTCAATTATTGTTCAAAGAAAATTGAAATATGGCGCGTTCTCACGACTCGTGTACTTGGCAAGTATTTTTTGTTGGCCTACAGGGTCTGGCGGGAATGCGGCGTACTTCCTATAATAAATATGTTAGAAATTATGTGTAGATGCCCGACGCACCGTGTATACCCTATATACCAATTACAAATGTTTGTTAAGTACACGAGTCGTGAGAATGCGCCTTAAGATAAAGCCAAATGTCATTTTATGTCATTTGCCATTCTTTGAATTTCTCTGGGTGATATTTTTCATATTTAATCATGAAAACAGGTTTGAAAATTAATGAACTGCCTTGGATTTGTTATATAGCACATTCTGTCTACAATTATTTCATATTGGATTTTCTATCTGTTATATTACTTTTTAGGTGATGATAAGCTTAGTGACCCAAAGGATAAAGCATTACAACTAGAAAGAAAGCGGAAAGCAGCAATGTTTTTAAAATTAAAGTCCGCAGAATCATCAATTAAAAATACATCTTCGAAAGAAACAAAATTACAAGATGATAGAAGACTAAAAAGAAGGTAAGGATATTTTAAATCGTTGTTTTAAATATGTTAAAAGAATTGAGCGAGTAGTATTTGTGAAGAATTTGAGTTTTTAACAATTGTGCATCACTGATATTAAATATTTTATTTTTGTGTTGTTAAATTAATTAAAATATCATTACATTACACCTTCGACCTAACATCAAACGGCACATCTAGTCAGTCAGAATATAACATACATATTTATGCTTCTTAACACAATATTTTCAAAGATGGCAGTTTCAAGATAAACAAGTCTCCAAAAAATCCTTTATGGGTATTTCGCCACTGCATTGTAACTGTGCAAGTATACACTCGGCGAGGTGACCCGAGGCCGAGACGAGGCGAGTGTGTACTTGGAGCTCTCGCGTCGTCTCGGGTCCTCTCGCCTCGCACTCTGAACGTTTTGTACCAAGTACACACTCGCCGAGAGGACCCGAGGCGAGACAAGGCGAGTGTGTACTTGGGGCTCTCGTCTTGCCTCGGAGCCTCTCGCCTCGTCTTGGGAGCGCTCGGTCTAGAGGCGGTGTCCTCTAGATACGAGTCAAAGGAGACGAGAGCTATAGAGAAACTAAATAAAAGAGAGACACAATAGATTTTATATTTCTCTATGGCGAAAACGTTAAGTTGGAGGTCCCGCGAAAATATACACGGTGCTCTCGGGAGATCTCGGCATTCCTTAGTTCGTCTTCTAAACTTCCTTTGAGTTGACGCCTATTTTCGGTATTTAAATTATTAAAATATAAATATATAATTATACAGTGGATAAACGATTTTAGTCAAAGTACCTCTCTGTTAAGAGAACTGTAGATAGATTCTTTAATGGTCACTATCCGGGCCGTTTAAGAAAGAAAAATGAGTCTATTAAAAGCTACGCACGAGGTTTTCATTCAGTTTGATGGAAGGTCTTCAAATTCACATATATGACTGCCAACCTAATATAAACATTCATTAGTTTCTATAAGTATCTACGTTTATTTTAATAATTGAGAAGCGATCAAACAAAACGAATCCACTTTGAGATATTAGCAAAAAACATATCGTTGTTGGTATAGACGTGTCGTTATTGCGTCTTTTAAACAAAGAAAATTATAATGTGTATGAAAAATATTATGATACAGACTTTCTAGACACTGTTTTCGCTTTTTTTGTCATCATTATCATAAGAATTATTAGACTAATTACAAAATTATTGATTAATCTCTTTTCTCCTCAGTTAAAAATAAAGATTTATTTTTTATAATGTAAAATAGCAAATATAAAATAGTTTAATATTATTAGGCAAAATAGCAAATATTTTACGTTTTTATGCAGCATTATGTTTTTTTTTTTAAATTTTAATACATCTCACCTCGGCAACATAAAGTCGAAAAGACAGTTTGTTTCGATCCTTGGCAGTTATGTCATCACTTTCGACGTTATATTGGTTTTCATGATTTTTTTCATGACAAACACGGACAATAGAATGATAATCTGTGACGTAACAGCCAAGGATCAAAAAACAAAGCGTAGATGAGTATACGTCTATAAAATACCAAAAATACAATGAAAACAAAAGGAAATTTTGTGGATTTCAGTTTTTTTTTATTTTCTCGACTTTCAGGTCGGTTTTAAATTAGATTTAAGAAAAAAATTTCCCAAATTTTCACAAAAGTGTTGTTAAATTTATATCGTAGAGCGCCTGATTATTTTTATTTTTACAAAATTATTCTTCAGAATATATTTATTTATGTACTGCAAAATTTTATTGGTGTGTTTTTGCGCAATGTCTCGGGACGTCTCGCTGGACCTCGCGTTTTTTGTGACGCCTCGGGTCCCCTCGGCGAGTGTGTACTTCCAGCATAAGAAAATTTACAAAATAAAATAGTTATTTTTTGTAAACACTTCTGCGTTAAACCTAAACGGACACTGCTTGTCAGAAGTTATGTTTACAGTTATACAAATTTGCATAACAAAGAAAAAAATGCTTAACGTTTCGGAAAGTTTATCTCTTTCCGTCGTAGGAAGCAAAAAAAATACAAAGAATAAAGAAAAAAATTATTTAAAATATTTAAATTCAACTATTCCAGAACACTTTACTTTTTTAAACCAGATACGTCTACAAGAAACCGTTGACGTACTGTTAAAATGACATTATATCAAGTTAAACTTCAAAACTAGCAATTACTACCTGATATCAATTACTTAATAAGGTAAAACCAAAAAAACCCAAACTTTCTGTATGATTATTTTTAAATTTTACGTATGTTGTATGTTTATTTATGTTATGTTCTTTAAAATCAAAGAAGCGATTGCCATACATTACTAACATCTACAGATGCATGAGCAATACATTTATTTGTATTAGATTGAATTAAAAAAAAACCTCTTTTATTTTTCTGACGAAAAAATAAGAAAGAAACGACGGAAAGATAAACTTTCCGAAACGTTAAGCATTTTTTTCTTTGTTAGGCAAATTTGTATAACTCTAAACATAACTTCTGACAATTGAAGTGTCCATTTGTTTAACGCCAGAAGTGTTTACAAAAAATAACTATTTTATTTTGTAGATTTTCTTACAACTTTACTTTTTTTCGGCAACTGTGCGTTTATTTGTGTCCCTGTCTATTGACTTGTTACAATGTAAGTCAATCCTTTATTTTAGTCTTACTCATTAAAATACAGACCCATTTTACAGAGACTCATTTTGAACGAACACGCCGATATACAGGGTGAGTCTTAAATAAGTGCAAATAGTGTTAAGTGTAATAGTATTTTTAGTTAAAAAACATAACTTCTTGATAATATGGCAACATAGGTAGTAGATGAAATTTACAAGAAAGAAAACCCAGAAAAGATCCACTACTCAAAATTTAAGAAAAAAATCATTTCTTTTGGAAATTTTCATAGTAAAATAACTCGGTTATTTTGGAATTATTTGAAAAACGATAAAGAGTAAACATGTTTCTTTTGTCGAGATCTACCAGCCCTGAAAATATTTGCACTTATTTAAGACTCACCCTGTATATCGGCGTGTTCGTTCAAAATGAGTCTCTGTAAAATGGTTCTGTATTTTAATGAGTAAGACTAAGATAAAGGATTGACTTACATTGTAACAAGTCAATAGACAGGGACACAAATAAACGCACAGTTGCCGGTTCCTGCGTGTTTTAGGCATGGTTAAAGATAATCGAGGTGGGAATAAAATTAAATTAAACCGGTATAAAATGAAATTAAAATATTGCGGTAGTCGCAAAATATTTTCCGACGTCATCAATCGTATCGAAATTGACACTAAAGCCTATAAACCTGACTTGATTAAATTTTGGCAAAAATGTTTAAATTTGTTGTACAATTACCGTGCAGCTCTTTATTTTATATCATAGAGCAAATTATTGTAACAGATATTTTATTTAGATTAAAGCTGCAAAAATTTGTTTAAAGCTTTGAATAAGAAGACTAAGGAAGGAGCATAATGCTATCCATGTATTCATGCATGGTGGGCGGAAAAAGCACCATAAAAGCACTCTAGGGTGGATCCTTGACAGTGGATCCTTGACAGTTCTGTTTGACGATTCGTTTGATACATTTGAATTTGATTTGAATTCTTGTGGATTTGTCAGTCTTTACGGAGCTTATTTTATGTTATTTATTATTTATTCTACTACTGATAGTTGTATAAAGGTAGTAAATCTAGATGGAAATTGTGGCAGCACTTAAATTAACAGTGACACTATCGCGATTTATCGAAAAAGACTCTAAAATAGTTGGTTGTGTAGCGTGCGGTAGATCTCGGCAAAAATTGAGTGAAATAATGGAACAACTTTTCGCTAGTAAGTGACTATATAATATACATACGTGTAGTAAACCGATCATTTATGAAATTCGCTTAAATTAACTAAATTATATATTTTCTTGCATTTTAGCTTTTATTTACTACTTGTCAAAGATCAGATGTCAAAGAATTTTGATACGTTAATTTGACTTACCTGCTTCAGTAGCGTATCGGATGTTTGTGTTAATAAATACTTATTATAACTTATCTATTTTTATTAGAATTATATATTTTTATAACAATTTTAATAACTACCAACATTTATTCACAACGTAAAATAAAACAACAAATTATTGAGTCTACCCCACGTCTACCCTACATCATAGTTTTACATTTTTTAAATAAAATTAGAACGACACTGATAAACCGGAATTTAAGTCGGCCATATTTGAGGCCCATCGCGGTGTACCTAAGATTTTTGATATGCTCCTTCCTTAGTCTTCTTATTCAAAGGTTTAAAGCGATTTTCATTATCGTCATGTTGGTCACATTGCGCCGCGATCAGCAAGGTTGTCGTATTTGACAATTATCATAATGTCAGTCATTATTTTTTATAATATCGTGTTGTTGTTGAATCTTTGGGAGTAATTTTCATGTTTGCCCATTTTTATAGTGTTTTTTTTTAAATTGTATTTTTAAGTACAAACAGTTTTTAGAAGAACTAAATTTTCAAGTTTTTGTATTGCATTTCTTAAAATTGTGTGTCGAAAATATGCCGAAGCATTTAGACAGTCTAAAAGAACTTGTAGCTTTCCTGATAAACCATTTTGAACAAGAACGTGACAATACAGCTCCTTTATTACACTTGACCACAGTCAGAGAAGTAAGTTTTTATTGGTAAGCACATTATACCACTTTCAAAGTTATCTTTACTTATTTCGATTTGTAGCGAGTAGCTTTAAATTTAAATATATTGCTACTGTAACTGTCAGTGACTACTGTTAATAAATAAGTTAATTTCTAAAATATTGTTACGGATTCCGTGGGTCCGCTATTTAAACTCACGATAAAATACTTAACGAATTTTTTTGTCTCACTCTGTACACACAACTTATACTATTTACAACACAATTTATGCAAGTACTATTACTCTAACGGTATTTCGCGGTATTACCAAACTTCAGACTTCAGACTATCTTCAGACTGCTCCAACTGTCAAAGCGCGGGCCTTATATACCCCCTG